AATCTGCATATTCTTTATCAAAAGTTACATCATCCCTTTTATCAATCCATTTAAAGTTGTTACGGTCACGTTCAGTCTAATTTCTGAGACATCTATAAAATTTTCTTATGATATTATCACCTTTACGGGTTATAAACACATTACATAGCAATTTGCAGTAATAATATTCTTTGAGAAATTGGGTGCCCTTTGAAGTTGATGATTGCATTGAACTCATAGTTCACAATGTGATACTTGCATATATTTTAGAAAAAAAAATATCTAAGTTAGATATTTATGACAACCTAACATATAAGAAAGTTGATTTCTAGTTGAAATTTGTAACTTAAATTCCCTAAACAATATGAACGAATCCTCCTTCATTCCATCTAACAAATAAGAAGATTAAACAGCAGGAACTCTCAATTCTCCCCCATTTTACCTAAAGGGGCTATTAGAAAGCAAAATTTTAATAGGATTTAAGCATAATTTAACATAAATTCTGTCTGTGAAAAATCTAGATTTTTATACTAATAAGAGACTTTTCATTAATTATGAACTAGAGAAGGGGAGAAGGATGATTGTGAAAGCATGTAATATTTTAAATGGTGCTATTCTTGATTTAAAAACATCAATTCTCAAAATTTTGGACATTGTAAAAGAAGACATTAAATTAGAAGTTTGTAATGATCACATTGGATAACAATTAAAGGACAAGTATTCACTAAATTGATCCTAAGGCATCAAGATAAAACTAATAATAAATTATGATGACATTAAATAATAGAAATCTAATCATTGGATATATCCAGATGGTATTGGTGTTTACCATCTAAACGACAGTTTAAGAGATCAACTCCTCCAACAACAAAAAAAAAAAGAATATAAACCTATAGGTAAGGTTGAGCTCAATTATCCCAAACCGTTCATATCAGTTTTACCCATCTCAATTAAATCTTATTTCAAGTTGCATGCGATGTTACCTCACTCATGCTATTTTATTATAACTCTTGCTTCACAAGAATAGCATGTGCTTATTAAATCTGTAGTGCCATGCTGTGTACTGAGAACTTCTAATTGTCTCCATCTTCTCTCATTTTAGTTTGTAATTTCTAACATTCACTTTAAACTGTGTAATAGATCCAAAAAGCCAAATCATAAAGAGAAATAACACTTAAATCTTCATTTATTTAAATTGATCTATTTTAATATCAAAATCAGGATTTTTTTTCTAACACCAAGATAAAAATGTCAGTGAAACCAACACTGATGTAGACAAATTGGCAATCTAAAAAGAGTTTGAATAGTTATTCAAACCAAAGACATCCCACAAAAATAGTTAAAGGGCCGTTAATTCCTAATGTCATGGGTCGCAGAGTCCACCAGAAAAGGAAATCTTGCATTCAATTTGAGCTATGCCATAACTATATAAGCAATATTACTTAGCAGTAAAAGAATTAACCTTGTGGTGCATTCTACCAATTAAAATGGTTTGAGTGTTTCCACAATCATCATGAACAAACTTTATATCTAATTCCAAGTCATTTGCCATACCATGCTTTTTGAAATGCGATCTAGCCATCCATCAAGAATTTTATATTATACTTTCAATGGATTATCAAAATGTCTTAAAGCACAAATGAGGAGGTTGAGATCTAAGTCTCGCAACTTCCTTTTATGCTTTCCAATCCTAGGCTTTTTTTTTATTCCTGTTTGTTAAGGTTTTGACCTTAAATCTATCTGTTGTCGTTATTGCATAACCCGATCCAAAGAAGAATTAGCTAAACACATGAGTAAATTTAAGGTTGGTGCATGACGAGGGTTGTCGTACTCAATGGTTCCCGGTAGGAGCGGAGCATAAGCAGGGAAATTATAAGAGTTTCAGAGGTCTTCGTGCGCTGCGATATCATCGTTGCCTTCCCAACTAGCTCTCCTTGCAAGGGTTTCGGTCCCGAAAGCGAACATTTTTCCACGGAACAGGAAAGATGTATTTGTGCGCAGTGATCCTGTCGTTGCCTTCCCAACTAGCTCTCCGTGAAGGTTTCGCTCACAAAGAAGATGGTTTTTCTGTGGAACTGGAAGAGAGGTAGGTAGATAGGCGAGGGCTTAAGAGAAGGATAGTGAACGACTGCGGTCTGATATTTACGAGAGGTAGGTAGATAGGCGAGGGCTTAAGAGAAGGGATAGTGAACGACTAATGGTGGGAATGCAGAGGAAGGATATGGGTGTCGACAAATTATTGCATGCGGTCTGATATTTAGATCAGGGTGATCTAGGGCTGATCTAGGTCAGAATGTATTTCAGTCGGTCTCACTTAAAATTTTTTTTTTAAAAAAAATTGAAGTACATCATAAGCGTAGATCACCGTGATCTAGGGTCAGGATTGGACACCTCATGCATTTCTACATGCGGTGTTCGTATGCAATAATTTTTCATCGACAAGGTAACAGAGTGCTCCTTTCAAGATTTTCTCGAGTTTTGGGTGCCTCCGAAGTTTGGGTGCAGAATATGTAAAAGACCATGTTTTGGTTGCTTCTTAAAAGCCCAAAAACTAAATTTTGGATGGTAGAATTGTAAATAATAAAATTTGGGGGCTATGCATGCAAATCCCCCTTCGCTTTGTTTCTCGTAATCTAAACCCTAGACCTCCTCCAATTGCTCACGTTCTCGCCCCCTCCTCTGTCTACCCAGAGCCAGCTGCACCATGGCTTCTCAGAATCGGAGACTTCCGCCCAAAGGCCGCGATGAGGGCATCCTCTCGAAGCTCTCTCAGTCCCAGATCGTTGTCCGAGGAAGGGAGGCCGCTTGCGAGGTTGCTACTGTTGCCAAGAAGCTCGTGCGGAGCACTGGCAGGGCCGCATGGATTGCTGGAACGACGTTCCTCGTCCTGGTAGTTCCCCTCATCATTGAGATGGACCGCGAGGCACAGATGAATGAGCTTGAAATGCAGCAGGCTAGCCTCCTCGGCACCCCTCCGCCCTCCCTCGCGCCTCCGCCACCCAAGTGATTGCTTTTCCTGACTTGCTCTGGAACCGGGATCAAGATTCCCTGAGGTAAAGCTTCCTCTGTTTTATGAGAAGTTTGATTCGCTAGGAGTTTGGGGCGGGTGGATCGATAACTCTTGAAATTAAGTACATTGCCTCAATGGTACTGTCTTCCATTCCTATTCAAGGAAAACTGAAAGTTTTGTTGATCTTCTGGGTTTATGTTGTTTTTAAGCTTAATTAGCGTTCAGTTTAAAGTTTGGTCTGCGACAGGGATTCTCTTCAGGTATAGTTGCTTGAGTTTGGTGCGCTTTATGGTTTCAACTTGTGCCATTTTTGTTCCCATACATTCAACATTTCTCTATTTCTTTTGTGAGATAATTGGATATGGGATCACTTATGAAGTACCATTTTTTTACCCTCTTAAATTGATGCTTTTATTCTCTTAATTGTGCATGCTATTGAAACTAATATCATGAAGGCAAGATTGCTTTACTCCTTTCTACTAGCTTAATAAATCCATGGATTGTTACTTAGGATTAAATGCTCATAAAATTTGTTGTTTCAACCAAGAAGATGACTCCAAATTTTCCCTTTTTATTTCAAATGCTTGTATTTTTGTTAGTGGTCCCACGTAACATATTATATTACTTTTTTTTCATTTAATGGATTGGAGAAATTTCTGTTGCGCCACAATATGTTTCATAATTTTAAAAAAAAAGTGGATGTTTTGGGAATTCTCTTTGTCTATGCAAGCAATTTTAGAACGGAATATGACTACTGTATATTTCTGGTTTGCACCTCTAGCAAGCAATTTTAGAAGTTGAATTTGAGCATTTTTCATTTGTTGATAGAGGCTGTTATTGCTTGATGCAGATAAAAAATCTTTTAGATTATTTCTCAGATTATGATAGAATCACTGTGATTTCATCCTTAATTTAAGGTATATTGTTATCGGCATAAATAAGTTGAATCAATAAAAATATGAGGAAGAATAGGCCCAATATCATTGGCCCACTTTTTATGACAAACCTTGATCAATTTCTTATTAGAGAAAAGCATGCCTAACTTTTATGCATAAGTTTTAACCCATGAGCGAATACAATGTTCTACATGGGAATTATAAATATTAAGCAACAAAAAAAAAATATCAAAATTTATGTGGGTGCTTAAACAACCCCATGTCGTTGATCAAACTTATTGATATGTAGTGTTCAATATAGCTAATATAAATTAATATTTCTTGTTCTCAGTGATATTTTATTGTTTCCCCTCTTATGTTTTCTTTTCCTTTACTTTGTGCTCTCCAAAATACACAAAAAAAACTAGTGGCAAATGCAACAAATCACCTAAACCAAAAAAAAAAAAATTGGCCAAATAAAAAAAAATGTACAATGTAACAGTGGCAAATGCAACAAATCACCTAAACCAAAAAAATAAAATTGGCCAAATAAAAAAAAAAATGTACAATGTACAATGTAACTTTATATATCATAATTTAACCTGTTTTTACTATTCTTATCTCCATTTATCTTCTTTGGGAGCAAACATTAATCGCTTACTCGGATCTTCATCGGATCTTTTTTGATTGCCAACCATTGCAAGCTCTTGCTACTAGTCATCACCAACTACTCATCGATATAAATTAAGGAAATTGATAACTCTTTGCTTTTGTGTTTATAGTGCACCTGCAACTATCTTTTCTATCCTATGCTCTAAGGACCACCTATGATTTTCTTGTTGTCATTGTTGAGATTCAAAATAGAGAACTTGGCGTGTGTTTGTTCTTTAGGCTTTTATAGAGTACAGAAGTAATGCCTATGTTTGATACCTATGGCAAAAATGTTTGATACCTATGGCAAAAATGTAGGAGATTATTTTCTTCAATATTGGATTAATCTTAATCAAGGAAAGTCTATGCTTTACTAGCCACAAAATTGATTTTCAAACTCAATTTACAATAACAATAATAAATCTTTATCCTACTAAGTGGTTTCAACTACATGCATCTTTTTTCTCCTTTGTGTCCTATGAGTGTCATATTTTCATTTAATTCTAAGGAATTAAGATCATTTCTTATACAATATGCCCAAGTGTTTTTAGCTCTAACTCTGTCATACTTAGCATAATTCAAAGCTAATATATCTACTCTCCTAATAGGTTCATCTGATGTTTTACGTTTAATGTGACTAAACCATCTAAGATGACTCTCTCTAATCTCGTCTTTCAGTGTAGCTACACCAAACCTTTCACGGTATATTCATTTCACATTTTGTCTAAGTGTATAGCCACTTATCCACCTAAACATTCTAATCTGTGCAACACTTAACTTAGTTTTATGCTTCTATTTTATAGGCTAACATCATGCACCATAAAGCATTGTAAGTCTCACTACCATCTTATAAAATTTTCCTTCAAGTTTAAGTGATACTTTTATATCATACCATAGCCTCAATACATTCCTCCATTTCAACCATCCAACATGAATTCTATTAATAATATCTCTATTTATATCATCGTCACTTTGAACAATAGACCAGAGATATCTAAAATTTTTAGTTTTTTTAATGTTTTGATCACCTATTGCTACAACTCCGCCACTAGATCTACTACTACTAAAATTACATTCCATGTATTCAATGTTAGATCTGCTCAAACGAAGGCCTTTAGACTCTACTATAAACTTCCATAATTTAAGTTTTTTCTGAACTCTTTATCCAATCTTATCCACAAGAAGTATATCATGGACGAAAATCATACACCAAGGTACATCCTCCTATAAATGTCCAGTAAGAGCATCCATAACTAAAACAAAAATATATGAGCTTAAAATCGATCCCTGATGCAATCTAACTGAAAGAGAAAATATTTGGTGAATCCTTTTTATGTTCGAGCACAATTGACAACTGACAACTCCAATATATGTATTTTTAATGACTTGAATATAAACAATATCAATACTTTTTTTTTTTTAATAAAACTCTCCAAAGTACTTCTTTTGCAACTTTATTATAAGCTTTTTCTAAATCAACAAACATTATATCTAGATCCTCTTTCTTCTATATTTTTCATCAAATCTCTCAAAAAGTGTATAACTTCCATAGTAGACTTGCTTGACTTGAATACTAATTGACTTTGAGAAATTTTTGTGACACATTGTAACTTATGTTCAATTGCTCTCTCTCATAACTTTAATATATGAAGCATTAATTTAATTTCTCTATAATTTGCATACTTTTGTGTTTCCCCTTTATTCTTAAAAATGAGAATCAATGGACTCTTCTTTCACTTATTAAACATCTTTTTAGTTTTAAAAATAGTATTAAAAAGTTTAGTGAGCTAAGAAATTTTTAGATCTAAATATTTTCACACCTTTATTGGAATACTAATAGGTCCTACAAAATTTTCATACTTCATTTTCTTTAAAGCCTCACCAACTTTTATTTTACTAATGTGATGGTGGAAATTTTTTTTTGTTATTATTTATGATTTTAAGATTAATAAAATCAATCGTATTTTCCTAATATTCATTGAAAATTTATGAAAATATCTCACCCATCTATATTAAATATCATAATATAAGAAAAATATATTTTGTTTTTCATTCTTAATACATTTTACTTGAACTAAAATTTTACTTTTCTTATCTTTTTGTATGACTATTTTATGTATAATTTTTCATCTTCTCTAGGATCTATTCTATTATAAAGATCATTAAAAGTAATTTTTTTTTGCATTATAAATTATTCCCTTATACTCTCTATAGCCTTCTTATATCTTTCCTAATTCTTCAAGCTTTTACATTTAAATTAATTTTTATAACAAATTTTCTTATTTTTTTCTTTACTTGCACATTATTATTTCATCTCCAATTATTTTTATTCATAAGAGTTTTTCCTTCTGATTATTCAAATACATTTTTTACAACTTGCTTAATAATATTCATCACTTTATCCCACAAAGTATTAATTTCTTCATAAATACCACAAATCTCAAGATCTTGAAGTTTATTCATTAATAATTTTATTTATGTCTTTAAGTGCCTCCATCTAATTTTATGATAGTGTTTAACTATATTTTTCAACTTTCAAATTTTCATCTTAAAATCCAAAATCAGTAATCGACATTGGTTACATAAATTTTTACTTGGAATGATTTTACAATCCTTACAATCTCGATGATCTATTTTTCATTTGAAAAAATTAATTTGTATTTTATTAGATCCATTTATATAAGTTATAATATGCTCATATATTTTCTTAAATAAAATATTAGCAATAATAAAATTATAAGCTAAAGTAAAATTCAATATGAATCTACTTTTTGTATTAGTCACTCTAAAATCATGACCACCATGAATATTTTTAAAATCATTTACTATTTTGCCAACATTTCTATTTAAATTTTCTCAAATAAATTTTTTTCAAGAGGTATCCTTTTTACTAATTCTTTTCGGCAATTCTAATTTTTTTCTTTTTAATATATATCAAAATCTATTTGGGAGAACAAACACTGATAAGTAAGAATTTTAGTATCAACAATAACCTTTAGAGCTATATTTTTTTTTATTTTTATAAGATTATCTTTCAAATTAATCTATAATTACACATAAGCTATTTATAGTATGACTTTTGCCCGAGTCTCATAGTTTAAATCTTAAATAATTAGTCTCCTTAGCCTTTTCTCAAGCCCATTTAGTTTCTTGAGTGAATATGATATTTATGTTCTAATAAATCATAATATCTATTAATTCAATAAATTCATTTGTGAGAGTAATTATGTTTCAAAATCCTATTCTAATGTTACTTTTATGGACTAACCTTTTTGCCCACATCTGTTCATAATGTGAGAGCCCTTATTCAATACTACACCTGACGTCGGTGCAGCAGCTATTGCAAACTTGTCACTATATTTAGGACGTACAACATGTTGCTTCTATGGGACACCTTAGCATTAACACAATGGTTTAAAAGATTCATGCCATAGTTTTTCAACAAAAGTTTTATACTGGTTGTCAACCATCTAATGCAACCCTCTACTTTTCACATCCCGGACTTAAGACCTGACGATGACAATGTTATTTTTAAACTCAAGTTAACGTAAAGATTTTTAGATTTGATGGAACTTATCTGTAGTAAACTTAAAATTTTTTCTAGTAGATTAGATTATTGTTGTATTATCATGATTGTATCAATCATGGACAACACCCTAAGAGCATTCTAAGTTCCCAAGGTTTGAAGGAATGAACACTGAGTGATCTTATAAAACTCAAATGATGTTAAAATTGAAACCATATTTGTTTCACAAGAAGATAGATTTATGAATGTTGACTTCATATCAGTTATTCATTTTTGTATCATTGGAGTGGTTGTGTTTGTTTGCTAATTTGTAATGCTATAATAGTATG